TGGTTTCTATGTAATTTGACAAATAAATAAAGCTGTTTCTTAAGTTGTCAGTTTTGAGTCAATATTTTTTAATTCTCTTTCGTGTCGATTGCTGATTGAATTGGAGCCAGAAATGGATCAAAAGGAAATAAGTAAATTACCAACAGATATTCAAGCTGAGGCGACAAATGCCATATCCAAACTACTTCTATTTTTCAATTTTAACAGTTGCTATGGAAAAAAGATAATTCTCCTTACCTCCTACCCCTCCTACAAGAATCAAACAATTCTTCCCTCGTATATAATGACAAAACAGAGATTAAAACCCTACAGTATTAGGCTACAAATCAAATGGAAAGTTTTTTCAATTGAGGCAAATTTGCTAGTTAACAAGCTTTATGGGATTTAAAGAGTAGTTTATAAATAAATTATTTTGTTATCAAGACAGATACATATACTATGTGAAAGCATAATTGCAAATCACAATATCTATCATTTTAATGTCAGGTATTTATCAATAAAATGCTTAATAGAAATTCATATTAATCTTTCGAATAAAGTAAATGATGATATGGGCAGTTCACTGTACAATTCGATTAACTCCACATTATGAAGAATCTTACATTTAAGTGTAAAACCACTTGGTATATTCATAACTTTTTATATTTATTAATTATTTTAACATAATTCCAAGCATTGGAGGTTAACATTTCTCTAATGTTTGGAAAATAATGTTTGGTTGTTGTTATAAATATAAAATTATTTTTAAAAGTGGAGTTAATCGAATTGTGCAGTGACAGCTCATATTTCTTAAACATAATCCTAATAATAAACAGGGTGAGTTTTCTACGATGTTCTCTATGGGTATCTCGAAAACTACTGGTGATAGAGAGTCGGTTAAATGGGGAAAGAATTGCAGTTTTGTGGGGTCATAAATATGCGCCTTTCAGATTTTCGAAAAAGTTCATGGCTTAATAGATATTTCAAAAAAAAAAAAAAATTCGGCTATTTTAAAAATGGTCCCTAATTTCATTATAATCTATTTTAGACAAAAAGTTTTCAAATAAAAGTTATAAATACTCACATCCTTAATGAAATTGTGTCCTCCGTTTTTTTCTAAAGCCTGTCATTTTTGACATATGACACAAACATATGTTTTTTTTAAATGGAAACCATAGTTGGTCATGACTTCATAAGAAGCGTCAAATTTTCAGCGATATAAGCGATAATATGTTTTTTTTTGTAAAAATTACTAGTTATAGCCAGTTCTTATCATTTTTAAACAATTTCACTTAGTTAGCCATGGAAACATGTTCAATTGTCGTTGCTCTCAGAAATGCCAAATTGTCACATCCAAACCTGTAAATTAAAATAACCAAAAATTGTAAATATCAATTTTTCAAATGAAGAATAGCGTGTTCTTGGCCATACATTTTTCGAGAATATGTTACATGCCTTTTAGAGAACGGATTTTAAGACACGTTAGAAAAGTTAAATTTAGAGAATCGTGCATTAATAGAGTGGTTCCAACATGACTTTCATTATGGCGCTCCCCCCCCCCCCATAATGAAAGAAATGTTAAAAATGATTTATATCATAATTATTATTCAAACACAGGGATAGCAAGAGGTGGACCAATTTCATGAGCCTCCTCGATCACCTGACTATCCATTTTAGATTTTTTTATGCGGTATATTTTTTGAACATTTTCTATAATAACTTAAAGCGTATAGTGATATTATTTTGTTAACTTTTAGTTTCTGTAATGTAAATTGTAAACAACCGTTTAATAAAATATTCTGTCTTTGTATAAGTTATAAATTATAATAATTAAATAACTAACAGAATAAGAATACCATACCAACCAAGTGAAATTAGTCAAGAAAGATAAGAATTGGCTGTAACTCAGTAATTTTTAGAAAAAAAAAAACATATTATAGCTTATATCGCTGAAAAGCTTAAAAATGGCGCTTTTTATGAAGTCATGGCCAACTGTGGTTTCCATTTATAAAAACATAAGTTTGTGTCATATGTCAAAAATAACAGGCTTTAGAAAAAAAAAACGGAGAACGCAATCTCATTAAGAATGTGATTATCTACAACTTTTATCTGATTTTTTTTGTCTAAAATAGATTATAATGGAATTACGGACCATTTTTAGAATAGCGGAAATTTGTTTTTTTCGAAATATCTAAGTAAGCCATGAACTTTTTCAAAAATCTGAATGGTGCATATTTATGACCCCACAAAACTGCAATTCTTTCCCCATTTAACCGAGTCTCTATTTCCAGCAGTTTCCGAGATACCCATAGAGAACATCGTAGAAAACTCACCCTGTAGAATATTTCTGCTTTCATCATAAAGCATTAAAATTGTTTATGAAAATGAAATAATATGCGTTGTTTTATTTTTAGAAAATACAATTGGATTATTAAAATAATGATTACCTTTGAAGCTACATAGGTACATTTCTCGTAAGTAATATGTAGCCAGTAAAAATATAATTAGTCACTTATTCCATTGAGAAAGGTCGCCTGCTTTTATGAGTAATAACAAGTAAGTATTTTGTTGTCTATTAACGAATATCTCGATAAATTTGCGTTGCATTCCAAGCCAATATTCTTAATATTTTATGTATTTTTCTATGTAACCTTCTAACTAAATTATATACTCAAAATTATTAATTTTAGTAGATAATTTATTTCTTGGGATATCAATAAAAATTATGATCCTTCAAATCATCGATAGTAGCAATTTAATAGGTAATGAAAAACAGAATATATATGTTACAGTAAAGGGTTAGAAATAAAGTAAATGATAAACAATTACTAGTAAAAACTCATCTTTATTGATTTGCTAACACTACGTGAGTAAAAGTTCAACAAGTTTGTTAATTTTAAAGCGAACTTTTACTAGTGAATGTTAGCATTCACAGGAGCTCAATAGTGAAACTGCGATTTGACTTTTTGATTCTCTTCGTCTCGTTTGATACTGAGTTACCCGGTAATAGCTAGCCGCTAGATGTTTTTTGATGTTAAGTATAAAGGTATATATTTTATTTTTGGTGCCTCTGTTTTATTATGGTTTTTTTTTTGTAATTTAGTATGAGTGGATCAGTTTAAATATGGAGGTGATTCAATGTTCGCGAATTCGACAGACGGTGGCAGGTCGAAATATACTACCCCTAAAAATATTTGTACTTATTTAAGACTCAATCTGTATGTCTGTGAAAAGAATAAAATCCAAATATAATATAAAATATGAAACATATTGGTATCTACAAAATATTATCCTTGAAGCATTTCAATAATTTAACGGGTATATTTAAATATTTATATTAGAAAACTGCATATGTCTATTCTTAGAAGACTTACTCACACTGTCATTTATATTAGGTACCTTGATTTTATTTATTAAGGAAAATCAAACATACAGGGTGTTTCTTAATGACATGCTAATATTTAACGGGGTGATTCTTGGACCTATTCTAAGAGAGAAACTTCATATGAATGTATGTACTAAACATATTAATTTCTGAGATACAGGGTGGTAAAATTTTCTAAAAGAAACCTTTTTTTATAATAACTCTGATTTTATTAGAGATATCTTTATGAAACTTGATACACGTCTTCTATGCATCAAAATAATTTTTTTGGTGTACAACGAATTTTATTTGTTTCAACCAGTGTCGTCCATACGGGTTTTACATTGAATATTTTCGGAGAAAAAACTGGTACACACTGGACTTCGCTTAAAATAAAAAATATTTTTAAAATCTCCATTCATTTCTAAATATTTTTTTTTTGTCTGACGCATAGTTTTTTCTTAAACAAATTAAACTCAGTTTACTTCACGGTCAAATCGCTGAAAATCTGATGCGGTGACTGTTGTGTGGAAATCATTTCTGCATCATAGGCTGAAAGGAAATTAATAAATAAAACTATTTTTTGTATGTCAAAATAAGCATTTTGATGTATAGAAGACCAAGTGGATCAAATATAACATCAGAGATACTTTGGAAAAAATTGAAAATTTTACTACCCTGTATCTGAAAAGTTAAAATGTTTAGAATATATATTCATATGAAGTTGTTTTCTTAGAATAAGTCTAAGAATAACCTCCTTAAATATTAGCAAGTCATTAAGGAACACCCTATATATTATGGACTTTTTGTAGAAATATGCTAATAAAACCGAGAACACACAATTTCAATATTTTTACGATATTTACGTGCCTATGAGCCAAATTAAAGAAAGATTTATCATTAGGCATTGACATTTTTAGTTATTTTTTATACAAGACGATGAAATGGTATTTTATCTTCGACCGAAAAGATTAATTCACGAGCGATGAAATTGCGAGTGAATTAATTTCAGGTGACGATAATGCAATTTTGTCGTCGTGTATAAAACAATATTTTTTCTATAGCGAGTTACGTTTTAAAAAATATTCAGAAATTATTATTTCAATGAATTTATTACGAGTAGAAAAAATATTGTGCTGGGTTGGCGATGGTTTCTATGTAATTTGATAAATAAATAAAGCTATCTCTTTAGTTGTCAGTTTTGAGTCAATATTTTTAATTCTCTTTCGTGTCGATTGCTGATTGAATTGGAGCCAGAAATTGCTCAAAACGAAATAAGTAAATTACCAACAGATATTCAGGCTGAGGCGACAAACGCCATATCCAAACTACTTCCATTTAAATCCCGAATAACTTATAAAAAGGAATACAAAAATTTTCAAAAATGGAAGCAATTAGAAAACGTGCGAGAAGAAATAAAGTTTTTAACCTATCCTCGCTGTTAAAGTATCATTTAATCTACCCTTGCGGTTAAAGTACTATTTTATCTACTATTTTTGGTAAATATAAGACAATTTTAACAGTTTCTATGGAAAAAGTAACTTAATAATAAAGTAAATTACAAAATATAATTAATATGTATAGATTCGACTGTTGTCTTCAAAAGCATCATTATCCCTCTACAAGTTTCACATGGTCTTTTCCAATCTCTCCCTACCTTTCAATCTGACATCATCTTCGACGTACTTCTTCACCAGCTCCCAGAACTCGTCCACCCTCTTATCAACCGACGCCTGGTCCTCGACTGCCGCGAAGCCACCTTCGATTATCACCGCCACCACCAGACACGTCGTCGCAAATCCGACGCCGAAGAACTTCGCCGTAGTCGTCGTCTTCGAGTGTCGACGGCCCATTGTACAGCAGCGCGTTGTTGACCGGGTGAAAGCGCGAATTCGACTGACGGCGCGGCGGTAGGAATCGCGCTCCTGCTGGCCGGCGGCCGGCGACGTCGACGGCATCGGAGGAAGCGTCGAAGAGGAACGGCGAAGGCGGCGCGGCGGGCGTCGAGATGGGCCTGAGGGGATCGATCGTGACAATCGGTGTCGTTAATTTTATTGTCGTTTGTATCTTGTTTTGGGTTCCGTGAAAGTTCAACCTTTTAGAATACTCCAAAACCCACTTATTACGCACGCCACATATTTCAGAGATAGTACATTCCACTCCTCCAACTCCCAGCGGATGATAAACCAAGACCAAGAAGGTACAATTTTGAGAAACACCCCACTGTACTATTGAGCAACAAAGAAATTGAAAGAGGTACACGTTTTCTCAGCAGTTAAAAAACCAAGATGCTTCCAAAAACAAAGCAGGAACAGGGATAGTAGAATTTTGACCGAAAACTCAATACTCCGAACCAATAGGCACCCCAGCATCCTTTTTTTTACAACAAGGGACCGTCCTCTGCCGGAAACACTGCGACCTGTGAGGCCTATTATGTTTGTCCCCTTTCTATATCTGCACCCATTCTCCTGTCCCTGTGCCCTGCACTAACTTATGCAGGTCCTTGATAGGATAGGAGCATAGTTCCTCCGGTGCTAGCCTAGCTTTGCCAAATAAAAAGTGTCGCTTGCGATCCAGAGCCTCGCAGTGACATATTACGTGCTCCGCTGTTTCAGGATCTTTATCGCAGAGTCTGCAGCAAAGACTTCCTTGATACAGGTTGAGTTTGTTCTGGTAACACTTGACAGCCATGTGTCTTGTCAAGAGGCCTGTTGTAATCCGCAATTTATTCCTGCTAAGCATTAGCAGTTCTTTTGCGGTTTTAGAGCTAGGTCCTTGGATAAAAGCCTTGCTGTGCCTGTGCCCCTGTCTGTTTCTCCAGTGGACATTCTGCTTTTCCCTGATCCAGAGTTTTAGTGCACTTAACGGCGTGTACACTTAACGGCTTAACAGGCCATACATTTGGGTATTCCCAGTACTGGCTCTGGGTCAAGATAGGATGCCGATCATCTTTGACCTCATCATCTTTCAAACAGAAATCTACGCTATCGAAAGCTAGGTACAACTTATCTTAGATAAGAATTATCGGAAACAAGAAATAGCCATCTTATCCGATAGTCAAACAGCCAACAAAGCAGCCAACAAGTAAAGGGAACAACTCAGTAACCATCAATTCAAAATTGTTCAAAGAATGCCTAGAGAAGCTGAAAAAAATAGGAAAAGAAAATAAACTCTTCTTATTCTGGGTGCCAGCTTACCAATGGATAAAAGGTAATGAAAAAGCAAAGATCTAGCTAGAATATGAGCGAACACGCCGTTAATTGAACTAGAACTTTTCTGCTTCCCAAATGGAAACCAACATAAAACAAAGCTCAAGAACCTGGAAGACTTCATACTTCAAAGACCTCCAACAGTCTAAGACAATCGAAGAAATTTTTCAAGACTTACGACCGAGAAAAATGAAAGATTTTCCTTGATTTAAGTAAGAACAATCTTGGGACTGTCACAGAGTTTTTAACAAGACACTGTCTCCTCCATGAACACCTCAGTAGATTGAAGCTGAGAAACAACGGCGAATGTAGCTTCTGTGAAGAAAATGGGGAAACACCTAAAAACCTCATCACATAGTACGCCGAGACGACAACCATTCGTACAATAAACTTTGATACGACTGACATCGGAGAGGAAGAACTAACCTGTGTAAAACTATCTCAGAGACTGGCTTTTGTCAAAGCCCTGGGACTGTATAGTAAGTAGATACAATAGATGTATAGTGTCGTGATGACTAAATTATTATGACCCATACAAATTACAATCTTGGAATATACGTAAGAGCCAAAGAGGACTGGAAGTACTGTATGTTATTCTTCTTCTTGTTTTATGAAGAAGAAGAACATGCAGTACTTCCTCTGTCCAAAATTCCAAGTTTTGAAAGGTTATGTTCTGATTTTTGTTGAAAATTCCACAAGTAATGCATTTTATCGTTTCATTAAACAGAATTTTTGTATTCCATTAATAGAAAGATCTGAACAACGTCCAAGTATAGATAATTCACAAAAAGAAACATTTAAAACGAAACTTAAAAACGTAAATAAAGCAAAAAGGGAGGGGTGAACAGCTGCAGGAGGTAGGTGTACATTCGAAAGGAAGTACGCGGGAATTCCTAGGAAGTACCAGGAAGTATATAGGATTTCCTAAAAGTATGTGGATTTCCCAGGAGGTATACAGGATTTCCCAGGAAGTATACAGGATTTCCCAGGATTTATGATGGAATTCCAGGAGGTATGGAGGAGATGGCTATGAGATAGCTCGAAAAAGTTGACATAGACATTTCTTTAATAATAATGACATATAACAGATACCATTAGTATCCAGTGACGTCATAATGGTTCCCGCGCTTTTGTTTCAGTTTGAATTAGTTTGGCGAGCATTACAATATTTGGTGTATTGCTCGGTGTATTGGTTTTTTTATACAAAAAGCACATAAATTAAGAAGCGTATTATCTGAAAGCAAAATAACACTGAACTCTCTACTGAACTCTCTACTAGGACTGATTTAAAATTGGAAGATAAAATGAATTTTAAGGCAGCTCAAAATATATGTTCCATTGAAGTCCTTGAATTATTTAATACTGTTGCTGAGGGTGCAGGAACCAAGGAATAAATAAAATAAAAATAAATTTAAGAATGATGAATTTAGTTATATGTTCCTATTTGGAAGAAAATTTAGATTTAAAAAGAAGGTTATACAGGGTTGTTCACCACATACGACACGGAGTATTGTAGCTAAACGATGAGATTTTTACAAATTGTAAGTTTTGGGTTCGATGAAGGACTATTAGAGGTACAATTTAAAAATAATTTTACAAGATACAGAGTGTCCCAAATAAGTAAAAAATATCAAAGTTGTATTTTTTTAAATGGAACACCCTGTATATTATTACATTTTTAGTTTTTACGATTAAAATAAAGGTAAATTTGATCAAGGTTAATTATACTTAAACCTTACCGTTTTTGAAATATTTTCAAATTTGTGAAATTCCAGTAAAAATTTTAAGGCTTCATTTCTCCAAGGGTATCAAAGTTTTTAATACTAAATATTTAATGAAGTAAGTATTTATTGATCAGTTATTGTGTTGCAATAATAAAAATAATACTACCTTATACAGAGTGTCTAAAAATTTATTTTAAATAATTATTAGCTTCAAACTGCAATAACTTGTTTAATTTAAATGGAACACGCTGTATATTTTACGAGAATCAGATGCACAATTTAATTGTCTATCAAATTATTTTATACCATTTTTTACCTATCTCTTTAAGTTTCCGTAGAAAATGCATTTTCTTGTAATTTAGAACTTATTTATCAATATACCCATGGACTATTGACATTTTAGATTATTTTTAAAGATGTACCAAATTTTTAAAGAGTACAGATACTAATATTGTCGATATAATTCGTTTATTTCATTAAAAATAAAAAAACTGTTTAAATATTTGTTAAAGAGGATCAATTAATATGATTCCAGTATTCAAACTACATTAACTGACTGTTTGCGTTGATTAATAATAATTGCTCCAAATACTAAAAAAGTGAATTTTGTATGGGCATTAGACAGTGTGATAAAAAGTAACACCTTAAAAATGATATTTCATTTTTTAATAAATGCTTATTTATTCTTCAACTCAAATCCACATTTATTTATAATAATTTATTAACGAACACAATTAAGTATGTAATTAATTAGTATATGGGCGTAAATAATGGTGTTATATTTAATTAATGGTATACTCTTTTATAAAGATTTAAATAGTTTTCTTTTTGCATACTAATGGTTCTAGTAATATTATCGTTTTGCTAAAAACGATAATATTACTAGTCTGTACATTTTGTACATTTGTTGCTTTAAAAACAATCTAAAATGTCAATATTCCATGGATATATTGATAAATGAGGTCTAAATTATAAGAAAATGCATTTTCTACGAAAACTTGAAGGGATAGGTAAAAAATGGTATAATACAATTTGATAGACAATTTAATTGTGCATCTGATTCTCCTAAAATATACAGGGCATTCCATTTAAATTAAAGAAGTTATTGCCGTTTGAAGCTAATAATTATTTAAAATAAATTTTTAGACACTCTGTATAAGGTAGTATTATTTTTATTATTGCAACACAATAACTGATCAATAAATAAACTTCATTAAATATTTAGTATTAAAAACACTGATACCCTTGGAGAAATGAAGCTTTAAAATTTTTACTGCAATTTCACAAAATTGAAAATATTTCAAAAACGGTAAGGTTTAAGTATAATAAACCTTAATCAGATTTACCTTTATTTTAATCGTAGAAACTAAAAATGTAATAATATACAGGGTGTTCCATTTAAAAAAATACAACTTTGATATTTTTTATTTATTTGGGACACTCTGTATCTTGTAAAAATATTTTTAAATTGTAGCTCTAATAGTCCTTCAACGAACCCCAAACTTAGAATTTGTAAAAATCTCATCGTTTAGCTACAATACGCCGTGTCGTATGCGGTGAACAACCCTATATAATTTATGGTATTGTGTGTTTTCTTTACGTATTTGGCGTAAATGGCTATGATAAATAATAAGAAAATTGGAGAACATTTTATTTCAAGCAACTGTTACACATGCATCGAGTTGGACGCTCATGCTCTGATTAATTTAATTATACATTTTCGAAAAAATCCAAACCTCACAGAGGATATGTTCCTTCCTTTGCTTTTTAGCAGTCAAAGCTGTGAGAAAATATTCCGAGCCACAAGGTCCATGACAACAATGCAATCTACGTTAGTAAATTATAGTATTAAAGACATACTGCAACGATTGGACAGAATTAGATCGATTAATAATATTACCCATAATTTAAGAGCTATAATACGTTTCCCAAGAGAGCAGAAAAGATTTGAAAGAGTTCGTTCTAAGGGCCAAAAC